ATCAAAGAAGAAGAAGAAGAAGAAGATTTTTTCTTTTTTTCTACTTTCTGTTTGTTGATTTTCACAAAATTTAAAACATTTCAAGGTTTGTTTTTTTAAAGGACTGTTAGGTACCAAATGAGTTCGAAAATTTCTACGGTTTGAGTTCCTTGTTTACTTCTACTTCAATTTTAGAAGGTGCTAAGGTAATATATTTAGAAGCGTTAGATTTTCTGCAGCGCAGCGCAATACAGTCACCGTCAAAAATTGTTTGATCTTGGGCATTTCCTAGTCGACATTTTATAAATTCGAAAAATTACTCAAAATTTGTCAGGTTGTTTTTACTCTTTGTAATGTTTACAATAATAACATGTTTCATGTATACTTTAAGGTTGAACTTAAAAGCTGTTAATTTAGAAAACAAATGATAAACCGCAGTGCAAAACAGATAATACATATATCTCATCCAATATCAAGACTTCTCTACAGTGACTTTTTTTAAAAAAATAATTAGGTATGGAAAATTGATTGAATTTTCTTATTTTTCCAATGTTCTCTAAAATAAAAATTCAGCTGTTAATCCCCTAAACGTATGTCTCGATAATTCATATTTTCAATTATAGGTATTCAGGTGTATTCCTGCCAAATTTCATACATCTGGCTGCTCCAAGGCAACAAAAGTCCGAGATACTTCGGAGAAGCAGAGATTGTTTGCTCATTCTCAAGATGGCGGCCATTAACAGGGGTAAAGCTGACTGCATTTAAATCTCAGGATTTTTGGGTTCCTCACATATTCGCACGTGCTCATTCCAAGTTTCATGCATAAAGTTACAAAACAGCCACAAAAATCTGACAAACCTCGGAGGAACAGGGCAGATAGCTTTTTTCCAAAATGGCAGCAAATTTCGGCGGTTAAATGGCTGACCAAACTTGGGTCTCGATGAATTTCTATTTTCAACACACTCGTGGATATTCTCGCCAAAATTCACGCGTCCAGCTACAAAACAGCCGCGCAAATCTGAGAAACCGCGGTGAAGTAGGACTGGGCTGTTAATTTCCAAAATGGCGGCCATTAACCAGGATAAATATGGCCGACTGAACTCAGGTCTCGATAGATTTTTGTTCTCAACATGTTTAAGCATATTCCTGCCAAATTTCATGCATCTCATTGAAACTCAGCCGCGAAAAACTGATAAACCACGAAGGAACAAAGCGAAACCTCTAATTTTCAAAATGGCGGTCAATAGCAAGGGTAAAATGGCCGAATGGACTTAAATGTCAATTTTTCCTCATTTAAGACACACTCAAGTATATTCCTACCAAATTTCAAGTTAATGGGTAAGTTAAAACGCCTGAAAAATGAGATAAAAACGGAAACCAGCTTATGACGGCCATCTTAGAAAATGGCGGCCAAAATATGGGGACCTATGTTATGCCGCGATCAGACGCTGAATTTAGCACCTGAATGTGGAAGTCAACAGTCATCGCCCAACGGCTGAAATTTAGCAAATTCGAGTTATTTTCATCCAGATGTGTATCAAATCTACTCGAATAGTTCAGACAAATTCAAAATTGGTCCGATGGTTGCTGAGATTCGTTGCTGAATTTTGCGCGTCACGCGCAAAATTCAGGCATCGGGCCGATGACTTCCACATTCAAGCCACATTCAGCTCCCACATTCAGCGTGTGATTGCGGTGAAAGATCCAGCTTGGGTCCCGACGGATCTTCGTTCTAGGTACCTTAAACTAGAGTCCCTTTGTACTGAGAGTCAAGACAACACCCCTCATGGAGTCACAAACGGGAATAAAGATTACACAAGAGTAACGACAACTCGATTATCAGCTGACTGGCAGCCGACCTTGGCTGGCCATGGAGGCCGAAACTAGTGCACTCAAACGAACGATATTGGGGGATAAGGATCAGGAATCCTGCGATGTCTGTCACACAGAAACAACAACATCAACAAATTGACCAATTAAAAAGAAAATGAGATTGGTTTGTGAATAATTTCTTAATCTATTTTCATTTTGGACCGATGGCAATAACAATTTACTCTTGATAAACCACAATTAGGTAATATTTTCATTATTCTTGTTCACATACGAGGTACCGCCATCTTGGTGCACTAGTTTCGGCCTCCATGAGCGAGAACCAATCAGAATTGGATTTTTTTTTAGGCCACTTTCAGCCCAATCCTGGCCCAACCAAAAGTGAGTTGTCGTAACTCTGGGTATAAAGGGACTCTACACAAATTGAACGTTTTTCGTAATCTTTGATCGGCTCATTCTTAAATTCCTTTCTCCGTTCCTTCTCTCATTCCGTTTGTTCCTTGTCGAACCCGAAATTCCTCGGTCCATTCCAGATTATAATCTTTGCAATTGGTGAAAATGTAATCTTTATTCCCGTTTGTGACACTGTGAAGTCCTAAAATCCGGTTGACCAATCAGAAATGGATTCGCATTGTCTTGACTCTCAGTATAAAGGGACTCTACCTTAAACTACATTTACATCATGTTTCATGCAAGTAGCCTAATTGGAAATACTTTTACCCTACGCGACCCCCAAAAACTGAGGACTTGAACGTTACACAGCTTATTCCAGTTTACAATTTATCCATCCAGGAAGCAAAATTTGACATATTGCTACGTGCAATTACACTATTTAGACTGTGTAACAGAATTGAGAGGGATGCAGCAGTTGAGAAAAAACTCTGTCACCACTCTATTTTCCCAATTCCAAAGTGGTTTTATAATGACTAACCGATAGGGGTATGCTAATCATATTCGATCTCCGTCCCAACATCAAACTGCATTCACATTAAACAGCCTTAATTTCCAGTTTCTGGAATGCCATCTCATTGTTTTCAATTGTGTGCAACGGTATTTAGTTGTCCATCTAATGAAAGGTGAAGGAAAAAAGTGCAACGGACATGTTTAAACCATGCATCGAGAAGCTAGAGCTCCCTCATCATACGTTAAGACAGACGTAAAGTATTATCCGTGTCACCACTTATCAATGGTGCCATCTGATTGCATGTATTGACCTGTTGGGTAGTGCTGATTCACAGTTGGTGGTTTGTCACGGTTTCTGGCATGGGATATATCGCATCAATTGGCCAAAATATGGACAAAGGCACCTGCGTATGAGCTTAAAGAATCATTCTAAACCACAAAAATAGAAAAATTCAGAGAAATGATCAGGCAGATATTGTTTGGTAGAAAACCTTCCATTCGATATAGAAAACAATAACTGCACCAAATGGGATGTTCTTTTCAAAACTATCTTCTGCTTTCATTTCTCTAGATTTTTCCCTTCAGAATGATTCTTTAAACTAATCTGCTGGGGCTATTGTCCTGTTTTGGGCTAAAAATTTAAAATTTGCCAAAACTTCTGACATAATCTATGCGATATATCGCATGCCAGTTCCACCACACCTTGACTAAACCCCTACATCAAAGACTGATGTTTGTCTTAACACACAATGAGCTAGCCCTACTCTTTTGGAAAAATTACAAGGGTTACTGAATCCCGATCATTGCTATAGATGAGTATGTTTGAGACAGCAATACCTGCAGAGAAAACTTAAAAGGCCACAGGTACAAAGCTGGGTCAGTTAAGAGAGTAACAGTGGGGAAAAGTTAGTATTAAGGTGATTTGTCAAGCTCAAGTGACGTCGTCGAAGTGGCATGCGATATATCGCATCTTGTAGGTCAAAAATCTCGACAGATTTTGAATTTTCAGCAAAAAAAAGGACGATAACCCCTGCGCATGAGCCTAAAGAATCATGCTAAACCCAAAAAACGGGAAAATTCAGAGAAATGAAAGCAGGATAGTGTTTGGAAAAAAACCTCGCATTCGATTCAGCTATCGATTTCTGTATCGAATGCGAGGTTTTTTTCCAAACACTATCCTGCTTTCATTTCTCTGAATTTTGCCAATTTTAGGGTTTAGAATGATTTTTCAGGCTCATGCGCAGGGGCTATCGTCCTTTTTTTTGCTGAAAATTCAAAATCCGTCAAGATTTTTTACCTTAAAGATGCGATATATCGCATGCCAGTTCGACCACATCACTTGAGCTTGACGAATCACCTTAAATGAGAACGAGATAATGTAAGAGTCACTGAAGGCAGTTGACACACGCAAAATTTCAATTACTAAACAATGGGGTTAGAGGGGATATCAATTTTTTCGATTCAATTTTTTTCAATCGAGTTTGTATGAGGCAATTTATCGATTCCATCGATTTTTTATTTAAGAACATCGAAAAAATCATTATGATTTTGTCGATTGATCTAAATTAGATAGACAAAGAAACATAACTAAATTATCGTTATTATATCAAACCTGGTTACGTTTTAAGCAAGATTAAAAGGGAGATATTGTAAGAGTTAGGTAAACTTTAAACCATGATCAGTGATCCGATGCCTAGGAATTCATCCCTAGATCTGGGGATTTTCCAACATATCTTGGGATCTAGGGATTAAGTTTGATGAGGTAAAAGTAAGGAAAAACCGACTCTAAAACCCTCAATTTCAGCTTTATTCATCTACATTTTGTAGGCCTTATTGGCAGCACTATTTTCTCCGTAGATGTGCTGGAACATATTACGATTGCGTCGCTCAATATACTCGACAAGTCAATAGGAAAATAAGAAAAACCTTAACTAAGTCAACTAAAATTCTTTCATTTTATTGGTCTGAATGAGAATAATCTGGTTTCACCACTGCTTTCAAAGAGCGACAATAGTCAAACGAACCAATCAGATTTAAATGTTGCAAAATCATACATCGAAAGATGTCATGATTCTACTTCAAAAATGGCGATTTTTCTTACGTGGAAAAAATCAATTTTATAGATTCCATTTTAAAAATCGATTTTTCAGGGCTCGATTATAAATCGCCGTTTCAAAAGAGATCGAATTGATTCGCATAATCAATTTTTTCAAAAAATCAACATCCCTAGAGGTTAGGTTCTTAAAGGTATATAATGAAGTACACTTTAAAGTAAATGGTGAGGCTACCTGGGTTGACACTTTGGGTAGCTGATGATAAGGGATAGGATAAGCAGGTGGCGACTCGAGCCCAGGTTTCTCTGTAAACCTTTGCTTCTCTGACAGTAGCTTTGAGAAAATGTTCTCCAACACTAACTTCTGTTCCACAGTAAATGCAGGATGATTGGCTGCCAAGACATACAGCATAAGAAACTCTTCAGACGTTTCCTCATCCTCAGAGATGGAATGAGCTCTAAAGCACTTGTCTACCTCACTCCAATTCGATAAAATTTTAAATAATCCATTAGAGCACGTATCATTGTTTGAATGGAGGAGAGATAGGTACAGAACTAGTTTTTTTCGAACTGTTTTGTCATTTAAGCACTGCAAATCTAAAGAATTAATCTCGGCAGGACTGTTCGCCACATTTTCCAATTGTCTGAACTCATGAAAATCTCTTTTACCCAAGTATTCCAGACATGTGCCAAAATATCGTAGTTCTGATGGATGGCATAAGTTGAGGAGGTTGCACATCACTCGTATACGCTCATAGCTTTCCAATTCTTTAAAACATGATACAATATCACTTTTGCACACCATCATTAAAAGAAACCATTGAAAGACATCAGGAAATTAAAGCCAATTGTTAAAGTAGTATCCACGGTGGTGCACAAATTCACTACATATCACTCAGAGAACGGGCATGATCAGGGCACAGTGAGAGTGAGCTGTGTCAGGGACGAGTTCTATAGGACGCCGTTCTGTTGTGAGCGGGTGATTGCAGCGCATTCTCGCGTAGGATCCTAGTCAACTCAGAGGATCCTTCCCCCCGAACCTCGACTCATCCATCGCCCGCTCCAAAAGTGAGGTTAAGCCGGAGATTGAAAAATAACACATAAGGCGGCTGAATTCTTGAAAGATAAGTCTATTTTTGGCGTTTTTCGACCCCTTTCGACAAGGAAGGGCCCGCCGCATGTAATACTACGGTGAAAAATTCGATTTTTTGCAGTTATACGCGATCCTACGGATTTTAATGAAGTCCAACAACTGATAACAGCAGTGAGTTGCGAGGATCCTACGCGAGAATGCAGCACTAGTACCTGCTCACGAATTTTTACATTGACTCTTACGGGAGTCCAGGGTCCTATAGAACTGGTCCCTGGCTGTGTAATGCAAAGAAATAGGAAGGGCTAGAGCAATCATCCATCCAAGGCAGATAAAAGAATGGTGGTGGCTGGTGGCATTTCGTACCCTCTGGACGTCACACGGAATGTACTTTTCTACGTCACAGCTAAAAATGAAGTCACCCTTCTGATTGGTCAAGAGGATCGCGGGAAAATCGAGACCTCTTTGAAATTTAAAAGGGAGTGGGGAAGGTCACGTAGTAGACCATGCGTCCGGCTCGGTTGTACTAGAGTCCCTTTATACTGAGAGTCAAGACAATTTGAATCCATTTCTGATTGGTTCCCGTATTTTAGGCCTCCACAGTGTCACAAACGGGAATAAAGATTACATTTTCACCAATTGCAAAGATTATAATCTGGAATGGACCAGGGAATTACGGGTTCGGCAAGGAACAAACGAAATGAGAGGAGGAACGGAGACAAACGGAGAAAGGTATTTGAGAATGGGCCGATCAAAGATTACGAAAAACGTTCAATTTCTGTAATCTTTATTCCCGTTTGTGACATCCATGAGCCGAATTGTCTTGACTCTCAGTATAAAGGGACTCTAGGTTGTACAACAAGACCGATCTTCACAGGTCAGTCATGCCGAGGACGAGTTTTGGTACTCTACTGCGCAGTGACGTGGTATTGAGTGCCTGCAATGTATTGAATGTATTTCTTCAATGTGCACCCATTGTGACGTAGCATTGAGTGCCGCCGGGTCAATGAAAATAACTCGAATTTGCTAAATTTCAGCCGTTGGGCGATGACTGTTGACTTCCACATTCAGCTGCTAAATTCAGCGTCTGATTGCGGCAATAAGGCCGGGCGGGGAAGTGGCTTTCAAAAAAATCAAAAGCCGCTAACACACGTACACTCCGAATGTACACTCTGGCATTCTGGCCTACTGCGCATGCGCGGGCATCGCGGATGTATACACTCATCATTCTCTTGGAAAAGAATGTACAGTTTGACGAGAAGAAGAAGATACCCGCGACGATTTTTTACTCATTCCTGTAACTTATAGTTGTTCAAGAGAAGTAAGAGAACAAAATGAGGAACATTCTCGATGCCCGCGCATGCGCAATAGGCCAGAATGTACATTTGGAGTGTACGTGTGTTAGCGGCAATAGAGTCGTAATGTAAGTGAGAGTACCTTCATAGAGAGTATGGCCTTGTCTCGACGGCGCAACTGTTGAGGGAAATTGGCGCAACTGTTGAAGGAAGGAAGTGTCTCAAAAATGTTTCACTTATAAGTGAAACTTTCAAGGTCAGAAATCTGGAACCTCAACAGTTGTTAACCTTCGATGTTTTGAATTGATAAACGCTGGTTACACGTGAAGCGGGAGTGTATTACGGGTGTTTTTTTTCGGAGCGGTTATTATTTAGAAATATTTGCACACATTTCAGTATCAATTTTATATTTTCGTTTGTAGCATATCACTACAGCAGGAAAATAAAATTTTATCGAATATATTTTCTTTTTATCCATATCTGAGTAATGTTATTGTTTTTTGTTTTATACCTGGTCGACATAACGCAAAATATTCACCTCCCGTTCATAATTATCAGTTCAGTTATCTCAATTGACATCGTTTAACCTAGAAAAATTAATATTGTTCAAATATTCCCGCCTAAAAGTTCCAGGAACACATGCGTGCGCGTCGAGACAGGGAATTTCGGTTGGTGCAACAAACTTGCTGCAGTTGCACCTAATTCCCTCATCAGTTGCGCCGTCGAGACAAGGCCTAAGGCCATTTGTATCTTTTTACCACAGGAAAACTGTTCCGCTTTTTGATTGGTCAACGAGTTTTTAGGCTTCATGATGCTCTTCCACCGCAATCACACGTTGAATGTGGGAGCTGAATGTGGCTTGAATGTGGAAGTCATCCGCCCGATGCCTGAATTTGCGCAAAATTCAGCAACGATTTTCAGCAACCATCGGACCAATTTTGAATCTGTCTGAACTATTCGAGTAGATTTGATACACATCTGGATGAAAATAACTCGAATTTGCTAAATTTCAGCCGTTGGGCGATGACTGTTGACTTCCACATTCAGGTGCTAAATTCAGCGTCTCATTGGAGTCGTTAAAACTGACGGAATAGAGGCCAACGTTTGACCAAAAGAATGACCCGAAAAAGCATCAAATGATGCTCTTCGGGTCGGCACACCGGTGACCCTACAAAGATGGCGGAACCTATTTTGCGCGGCAAATTCAAATTAAGCGCGGTATTTTTAATTATTTTCAAATGCGTGACTCCGGTTTCTCTGACGAGGAAACGCTTTGCGCGGTAGTTTTGTCCCTAATTTCTCCTCAAGTGTAAGATAGCCCTTCAATTTTGGTTCTACGTTCAACCCTCTTGATATTTTTCTCTTTTAAACTGACTTTTCTTTCACTTCTTTTTAAACCAATTACTTGTGTTGCTGATGAATAATCCCTGTTTGCATTAATTATGAAAAGCGGGGCACAGAGCTATGACGCTTCATCCTTTTGCTGGCAATAATTAATTTTTTACCCACGTATTAAAATATCATCAAATTATTATGTCATGCGCGCCCTGTAGCTATAAAAACGTATTTTAGGTAGAATTTGTCAAAATGTTCTTTTGGTCACTAAGAACTCTTAAATTTGCTCCGAATGGAATTATTCATCTTATTAGGTACATTGCTTTCATTGATTATCATGAGCTGTAATTGAAAATGGAGTTAGATAAATGGAATAACTGGTGCCGATAATTTTTTCTCTGTGTACAGGTGAGTATTTTTAATGCAGCAGTGATAGTTAAAATAAGGTTTTTGTGACTGAAAATAGTAAAATAACGATTTAAAATTTGTTACTTACATCTTATCTGTGACAGAAATTACTGCCGATAGGAGGGGGAGGGGGTATCTTGCTCATAGAAAAAGAACAACAAAAAATAAAAATCAACGGTTAACTTGCTCACATGCGGATCTCGTTTGCAGTACCTAAGTCAAAATCTCTGCTCAAATATTATTTTCTTAAAAGGGAGTGGACGAACATTGCTTGAAATTTTCAAAGAATATTCTTTACTCTCACAAGAAGAATTAGGGCACTTATCATCGCTTGAGATTGAGAATCCTACCATTTAGGACATACATAATGGCAGGAAGTATGCAGCATCGCAAACCTAGATGCACAATTTTTCATTGGCACTGTCTTCAAGTGGGAACTTGTGAATTGAGCTGCTACTTTGTATTAGCAGCTATCTGTTCATTCAACAAGTTAAGGGCATGAACGCATCGAAATTATCACAAAGTAAATTTTTTTTTTCTTTTTGTGTTAAGAAATATTTTTTATTCAAAAATTACAACTTGGAATACTCATGATAGCATGAGGACTTGCAGGCTTAAGTTACAATCTACTGAAGATAGTTTGTTATAAATGAAATATCCAGAAAGAATATGACCTTCTTAATCTACGATCACTATCCAACCTAGGTTGCATGCCGATAGTATTATCTGCAATTATTCCTGTCTGCTAATTGTTTGCATCACATGGTTTTGAGGGCAACACAGTTCTTGCAGCATAAATACGTCAAACTGGAAAATTTCCTTCTAAAA